AAGCTTGTTCCAAGTAGGTGCCTTAGACCACTGAGCCATCTCACCAGCCCATGGACTTTTAGTATATATGTCAGCATTGCTTGATTTTGTTATATTGTTTTAAGTCCAACAAATGTTAGGCTGGAAGTGGTGGTGCACACCTGTAATCCCAGCACTCCATAGGCCTAGGATCTCAGAGGTTGAGGCCAGCCTGACCTGCACAGTATAAACCCTGTCTCAAAAAGACCAAAAAAAAAAAAAGATTTTTTTTGGGGGGGTTTGCTTTGAGGGCAGTCTGGGCTACATAGTGAGACCCTTTCTCAAAGAAACAATTGTAGCAATAGTAAAGACTGCCTAATCTCAAAGTTCAAGAAAGGCACATTCCCTGCTATAGCCCAGAGATAGGTGGACTTTCTTGTATCCTATCCTGGACCAGGCGCTAGCCAAGGGAGAGGCTTCTGTCAGTCGCTGCACCTCCTCAAGTAGCCAGCAGAGGGCCGTCCCTCAAGCAAATGCACCGAGGAATTGGTCTCCCTAGAGATGCTGACACTGTCGGGATGCCGCAGGCAGCACAGTGAACAAAGGCGCAGTGGTGGTGGAAGCAGAACTGACTCCGTTCCAAAGTCTCCAGCTGTGGCCTTGTCGGGATCCCATAGGGCCTTGCCACCTTCCCTTTCCCAGAGGTCCATAAAGCTTCTTAACTGCTTCTCCCACAAATCCCTGCCCAGAGCAACGCTAGATTAGCTCCAGCATGAAGCTGAGATGAGCATTTTTCTGCTCCTGCTTTGCTCCTCTTATGCTAATTGTCATCAAGCCTTGTGAGCCAAGACCTAGGAACCCATTCTAGAAATAGTGCATGCCAGGCAGTGAAGGTGAAGAGGCCCGAGGTTGGTGTTGGGACGATCCTCAAGAAAAGGAAAAATCAAACCCGGGGTGATGGTACATGACTGGAATCCTAGCATCTGGGAGGCTGAGACTCGCCTTGCATGCAAAGCCAGCTTGCATTACAAAGTGAGACCCTGCCTCAAAAAAAGTCTCTTGAAATAGGAGGAGGTCTATTTAGGGAGATGGGAGAGGGCCCATCTGGGCGTTAGGGGAAGTCTGTAGTGGGAAACCACTTATTCTGGGGTGCTGAAGTCTAGGCTACGAAAAAGAGGTTCTTTTGGGGCCAGGGAAATGGCTCAGTAGAATAAGCGCTTCCCTGGCAAGTGCAAGGGAAGTTCAATTCCGGGTTCCACACACACAAAAAAAGGTTCTTTTGAGCAACATTCCACAAAATGTGGTCCTTAGATTTCTAACACTGCCAAGGGTTTGGCTTTGCGTTGAAGCCTGACAGGCACTGTTCTTAAGTTATAAGGTCTATTCTAGGAGTTAGGAGCATGTACTCTTATAAATCAAAGGAGGGGGCTTTCTGATCTAGTCAGTGCAAAGTGCCTGGCAAGTAGTCAGGCTTGTAAAAAGTGGAGTTATTATAAATGGCTTTTATACCTTCATCCTTGGGCAAAATATCTGATTACAATTCAGTGGTTGCTGGGAGTAGAGGTGCATGTCTATGATCCCAGCACTTGGGAGTTTGAGGTAAGAGGATCAGTGTGAGTTTGAGGCCAGTTACATAGTGAGTGCAGGGCCAGCTGAGACCTTGTCTCAAAAAAAAAAAAAAAAAAATCAGTGGTTGATGAGATTAGAGCAGCACTGTTCAACAGAATACAACCGTAGATACACACTTATTTCA